TTTAGAGAGCGAGCGAGAGAGAAACAGCATGAGAGGGGAGAGGGTCAGAGGGAGAAGCAGGCTCCCCGCTGAGCCGGGAGCCCGATGTGGGACTCGATCCCAGGACCCCGGGATCACGACCTGAGCCGAAGGCAGACGCTTAACCATCTGAGCCACCCAGGCACCCTAAATAAAATCTTTAAAATAAAATAAAATAAAGCCTTTATAAACGATGTAAGTTAATTTACTTAATATAAGTAAATCCCAAATAGTAATTAGAGAAAAGTGAATACATCAGTGTTGATTAAAGTGAATAATTTGTGGTGGTCATTATGTTGCCTCTTGATGCTGGCTCTGCAGGTCAGTTCCCAGCATTGAAACCTGTGCCTGCCTCGATGTCCCTCCAGCTGAGTTGTTAATGGGGGACAGTCCTGTCTTGAACCCAGGCTCTGGGCCGGTTCTCAGCCCTTTCTCTCTGTTCTCCTATGGCTTACCTGATCCCGCTCTGATCCCAGAGTCTCTTCCCTTCCATCCAAGCCCTCACCCTGAGCCTGGCTTTGTAAGGAGCTGCACACGCCCCTGGTTGGAGCCAAACCCCACGGCCCAAGCCCTCTGCCACACTGGACTCAGCGAGGGTGATGTATGATACGACACACACCAGAACCCCTTCTCCCAATAAACCCGGCGTTTTAAGAAAAGTACCAGAGTGAAGTGACATCTAAAAATTCACTAATGTCCCAGCTGCCCCATTTTTTAAGGGACCAACCCCAAAAATGGTGTTTGCTAGAAGCTCACTGTGACGACAGAGACTGAGCTTATAGCCAACTGAAATCCCACAGAACCACTTAGAGCTTTCTTCCCTGGGAGGAAAAGAGTAAGTCTGACAAATGGAGAGCCAAGGTCCCTGTGCCTTTTGCTGTCTTCGCTGCTCCGTGGTGGAGGCTTTGTCACCTGAATTCTTGTCCTCTGAAACAAAAACTGGCATCTGGGGGACTTTTCTGGCTGGCTGGCTGCTTTCATCTTCGCTTTTCCTCGAGAAGGACAGTAATAAAAGCAAGGGCTCTGAAGCTTCTCAGAAGACCATCAAGAATCCAGAAAGTCCTCTGAACAAATGCCCAGTGTGTCCCAGACCCCACTCCCTCTTACAGCATTTATTAAGCGCCTACAGCATGTCAGTCCCTGTGTCCTGGAAAAATCCAGACTTCCTATTTCAGTCAGTTCGATTCCATCCAGCCCTTGTCCTTGCTCTGCTCCAAACTCAGCCCCACCCTGTGGGGTCATCGGAGCCCCAGACCAGACTTACCCAAAGTGAGGGTTCATGAGTGGACATTGTAGATATTCTAGCATATTCTTCCCAGAGAGATGGACCTTCCTACTAGTGTTCGAGAGTGGGCAGCAGAATCTGGAGAGGCAGGCTCTGATCCTGGCAGCGTCCCTCCTGTGTGGGGTAGGGATGGCGGATGGGAGAACGGGGAGGGCACTTCAACCCCTCGTCTGAGCCTGGCTGTCCTCTGAGCGAAGAAGTCACACCAAGTGGACTCCAGAGCTCTCTCTCTCCGAGTCCCGAACACATGGGAGAAGGGACAGCCCACTTCTCCCTTGTCGATGGCTGGTCAGAACAAGCCTGGGGGATCCCTAGACACCTGCTGTTTGGGGCCAAAAAGAAAGTGACTGCAAGCACCTTGTGAGCAGGCGTGCTCCCTGGGGAAATTCCATTCTCCGGAGCACATACTCTCAGTTTTCTCCCTCTCGCTTCTCTTTCAATCTCCAGGAAAATTGTAACCACAGCGAAGAAGACCCCTGAGCCACACTGACATCTCTCGGCTGCTCCCGGAGATCCAGGCCGGCCCGGCGGGGGGAGCAGAGAAGCTGGCCTGGATCTATGTGCTCAAGGGGCACGTGCCCCCGACCGCCTGCTGGAGGAGCGCCTGCACCACCCGCCTGCCTTCACTCTTGCAAAAGTCTCTGTGCATTGGTAACAGCGTTGCCTTTTAGCCCGCGGGAAACCCGCCCAGGCCAGTGGTCAGTAGGTGTGTTAACTGGCATGAAAGGCTTAAGGTGCTGCCCCACGCTGGGAGCTGATTGCGACTTGTTGAATGCCCATTCTTCTCCCGGCATCCTCTCTTGTAAGCAAATTCTGATTTGCCAAAGCACTGGGGATTGTAGCCTCCCAAGGGTCATAAGGGACCTGGGAGATGGGGCTGGATGGGAGGGGACGTGTCACTAGTCGGCTACCTGGGAGAGGCAGTCGCCCGGCTCGGCCTGAAGCCCCCAGTGCCTGGGAAGGCACGGCTCCTGGGGCAGCTCCCCCCTTTCTGGACACCTGGTAGAAAGTGGTCCCACTGCCCACACTGGTTGTGTAGGATGTCTCCCCGGAAAGCATTCGCTCCCAGCGCTCCTTTGGACGGCTCTCTTGCAGGCAACTCGACCCTCTTTACCGGACCTGCTGGCAGATCCCTTTGTGCCCCGCCTGGCCACAGCCCGCCGTTCGCGTTCCTGCGCCGGAGGCCCCCGCGGCTGGGTGTCTGCATGTGTCCCCAGCCCTGGCCAGACCAAGGAGAACAGTCGGGACTCTGCAGGGCTCCCCCAGGGTAATTCAAGGTCAGACATCTGCCTGCAAAACCCCACCGGGCGCCAACCCCCCACCCCCCCATCCCCCCCAGACGGGCTTGAACAGTTTCATCGCCGAGCCGGCCACCAGGCGACAGGAAAGCCGGGCACGTGATCAACCACTGATGCGTTTGCTCGTTTCTTTTTGTCTTTTTGTGAAATAATCAGTTAACACCCACCACCTCACATACTTAACAATTCTTTTTCTTGTGATAAGAACTTTTAAGGGTTACTCTCTTCGCGACTCTGAAATGCACAACATAGTATTGTCAACGTGTTTATCTTCTAACTGGAAGCCTGGGCCTTTGACCCCCTTCACCCACTCCTCCTGTTCCATTTGTATTCCATCGCTTTACCTTTAGTCCCCGTCGGCCCCCGGCCGCTCGTGAACAACCACGTTCTCCGCTCGGCCGCGGAGGGGAGCGTTAGTGCCCCAACGTTTGCCCCACTGGGGTCCCACCCGCTGTCATTCTCAGGCTTCTCCCCCCAGAACACAAGGCGTCAGAGCCATGTCTGGTAGAAACTGGTTTATTACCAATCGGTGAAATACAGCTTCTACGAGTGCCCACGCACATGGCACGAATGCTCCCAAAACACCAGCTGCATGAAAGCAAGTGGCACAAAGCAGAAACAAAGCCTTCTACGACACTTCGCATGCACCGGTCCCCGGTGGGAGACGGAGAGGGCTCGGGAGGAACAATCCCGGGGGCGGAAAATCATTTTTCCTAACTGGGAAGGCGGCGGCAGCAGCCCTCCAGGACAAATCCCGATCGCCATCACGACCTGCATCCTCTTGCTAGCTCCCTGCCCGCTCAGGGACAAGCACAGACAACGACTGGAAAGACTGGCTGCTAACTCCTGTGACGTGGTTGGGGGGCCGGGGGCGGGGAGAGCGCGCGCCCGCTCCCAGCAGATGTGCCCCGGAGGCGCGGGTGGGACCGGGAGCCCGCCTTAGCCGGGGAACTTGGCCAGGCGGCGCCGAGCCTGGGCCAGCCGCGAGAGCCGCTCCTTCAGGAACTTCCTTTTGTCGCTGGTGTCACTGTGCTCCTTCAGGAGCCAGTTGTAGGTGTCCTTGTCCTGGAGCAGCTGCAGCATGCCCTTCTGCAGCTTCTGGCCATACACTTGCAGGATGAAGTACTGGATGATCAGGGGGATGTGGCTGGAGATGCGGTTGGTGGCCTCCTGGCAGGGAAGAAGAGGTCACAGAGAGAGGGGGGGCTGGCTGCAGCCTGCGAGCGTCAGGAGGGGCCAGGCGGCTGGCCGGGCAGGTGCACGCCCCTGCCTGGGTCTCCAACCCAGCACTGTCGTCTGGGCTGGAGGCAGCGAGGAACCGGGTGCAGGGAGCCCCCCAGCCCTGACTCCACCACCCCACCGTGGACTCCTGACCATTCGAGTTCCTTCTGATCAGAGAGGGTAAAATGGGCTTGAGGAGGGTAAATGGACGGACTGTGTACAAAAACCCCATTTCCAAGTGATTAGCAACTCTGCTGGAAAGATCTTACGACTTTTATTTTTAATCCACACTAAGATTATTTAGAAGAAAAAAGGCTGGGCTCTCAAAAGCCGCAGAGGGCCACCCTCTGCCGTCTCTGCGTGTCTAAAGTCAGTTTTTCAACCCTCCCTCCTCCCTCCCCAGGCCTCACCTGTTGGTGAAAAGCCTCTTTCCTGAGACAGGCTGCCCTCACAGGAAGCCCATCCACCCAGTCCCTCAGCAAGCTTGTGCCTCCACTCCCTCCCCCAGAAAATCGTGAGACAATGAGTACCCGGCCTCATGAGATGGTGAAAAAGATGAAACAAGCTGAAAGGGAAAAGTTGGAAAAGAGGCCAGGTATGGGGTAAGCGCTCGGTGAAGGCCTCTGGACAGGTGATGTGGCAGAGCTTGGGACACTGCTCTGTGCTCCAGGATGACAGCTAGCGAGGGGTGTGGCCGGCCACCACGTGGAGATGGAGGGAAGGGGATGAGGAGCCAGCAGGGGATCCCACAGACGGGCCATGTCTGCAGGAAACGATCTCTTCGGGACTGGGGAAGAAATTTCTGAGTGGTGACAGTCAGCTGCCCTGGCCCTCTGCCCTGACCCTCCCGGGGCCCACGGGGCCATTGTGCCAATCGCTGACTTAGGGTCACCTGCCCGATTTCACGATGATGAACGCACAGGGAGAGGGACAGCTGCAGGGGCGTCTGCATCCTGATCACGGAACAGCACATGCCCTCTCGCTGCAAAGGGGAGTTGAGGATGTAGGTGGAGTTAAGCTCATCAGCTGACGTTAAACTAGGGAGAGTATCCTACATTATCTGGAGGGCCCGTGCAAAGGAGGGAGGCAGGCAGCGGATTCGGACGGGGTGTGGTCCGGAAGGAGGTCTGAGATACAGCATCGCTGGCTTGGGAGACGGAGGAGGGCCGCGCACCGAGGACCACGGGCAGCCTCCAGAAGCTGCACGAGGCAAAGAGACAGATTCTCCCCTAGAACCTCAAGAAGGAGCACAGTCCCACTGAAACCTTAATTTTAGCCGGGGAGGATCATACTTAACGGAGAAAAGTTGCATTCTCGTTAAAGTCAGACAAGACTAGGCTGCCTGTTGGCTCCCCTGTTGTTTCCAGTTGTACTGAAAGGACCAGAAGAGGAAGCTTCGGGTATAAGGGGGATATAAAGCCACTCCAGCGTGGTGAGTGTTCATTGGGAAAATGCACAAGAACTGGCTGCAGAAACCATATCTAACAACAAACAGAAGACAAAATGGAAGAAAAGACTCACAGCAGAGATGTAGGAATCAACTTCAGAAGTGTGCACAAAATCTATGCAAAGAAAACATTAAAACACTTCTGAGGCTCCCCCAAAAGGAGGTCTTCAAGTGGAGGGACCCTCTATGTTCTTGGACAGAAAAGTTCACGTCATAAAGATGTCGACTCTCCTTGGCAGACTGATAAATGAATATAATCGCAATAAGGATGCCCAGCAGCTCTCTTCTCATGAGGAACGGGATAAGCTAGTTCTACAATTCATACTGAAACTGGAACAAACAAGAAGGGGCAGAAAATTTCTGCTTAAAGAGAGGTGGGAGCACAGATCGTTGCCTGCCCATGTTCACAGCAGCATTACCCAGAGTAGCCCGAAGGTGCAAACAAGTGAAATGCACATGGACAGATGAGCGGATAAGCCAAATGTGGTCGGTCCATATGACCGAATATCACTCTACTCTAAAAGGAAGGGCATTACAGCAAAGACAAACCTTGAGGACATTATGCTAAGCATAAGCCAGACACAAAAGGACAGAGATTGCACAAGTCTACTTATCCGAGCTACCTAGAATATGAAAATCCATAAAATTGGAAGGTAGAATGGGAAGGCCAGGGGTGGTGGGAGGGGATGGGGAATCAGTGTTTCATGGAGATAGGGTGGGGACAGTCCTGGAGGTGGACGGTGGGGACGGCTGCACGACCGTGTGAGTGTGCTGAATGCCACTGACCTGGGCACGTAAAGATGGTTAAGATGGTAAATGGTATGTGATGTGTATTTTGCCACACTATAGAAAGGAAGAAGAAGTAGGCAGCATTTGGGAGGGTACCAGCTGCACTGGACATTTAAGCCTTGTATAAAAAGCTGCTAATATAATCATGTCGATACTGACATGTGAAAAGCAAACCAACAGAAAAGAATTCAGGATCTAGAAAAAGACCCCAGGACACAGAGGAAGAGAGAGGGTGATTGATTATGGGCATATTGTGCATCAGTAGGCCCGGGATAGGGTCTTTGGTGATGGTTCTAGGACAACCATCAGCCATCTAGAGCAAGCCTCATTCTGGACATCAAGTAATTCCAAATGGATCACAGGTTTAAATATAAAAGTTGAAATGATACGTTACTGAAGAAAATATTGTAGACTTTGTTTCTAAATCTCAGAGACAAAGTCCAATGGCGTAAGTGGAGACATTATAAGACAAAAAGCACGGAAGCCCCACAAGGAAACAACTATTAAGTCCAATCCATAAATCTAGAAACCTCCAGCATGTTCTAAAACCACCATAAAGAAAGCCACAAGGCAGATGACAAACTCTGGGGTATTTGCACCACAAATCACCGGAATCTGAGACACTGCTCTACAGAGTTTCTGCTGGAGGGATGGTTTCCTGAACAGGAAACAGAAATAACTCTTATGCTGTGAAACCATGTCCCACCTCATTGTAGTAAGAGAAAATACAACAAGATGTCATGTTCCACCGGTCATAATATCAAAAAGCCAACAACTTCAGTGGAGACCAAACTGCAAATGTGGAGGAAACAGGCCCTCTGTGGGGAGAATTTACCAATGCAATTGAGTGTACCCTCACCCAGGTATGATACTTTCATAGATCAGCGTGGCCCAGCTAAAGGGCTCAGTTATTCAATCAAACGCTAACTTAGGTATTGCTGTGGAGGTATTTTGTAAATGTGGTTAACATGTCCATTTAGCTGATTCTGAGTAAGGGAGGTTATCTAAAATCATGAGGGTGGGCCTCATCTAATCAGTTGAAGGCCTTAAGTGCCAAACAGGGATTTTCCTGAAGAAGAAGAAAGCTTTCCCTCGGAGATGTCAAGAAAGCAGAGAAGGACCTCTTTTGGGGAGAAGAGCTGGCTCAGGACGGGGTGGGTGGAGGACCCCTCTCGCCATCGACTCATTTTCCTCTCGGGATTCTGTGTGTGCGTGCATTACCTCCTCTCAACGCCTCTGTGAGGCACATGACCAGACAGGTGGTAGGCTTGACTGCGGGAGAAGCCAAGGTGCATAGGTGCCTCCTGACTTGCCCTTCACAGGCCTCACTCATGTGGGCGCACATCCCAGTGTCTGCAGTCAATGGCGTCTGACCCTTGGTTTAGAGGCTGCTCCTCCAAGTGTGGTCTCTGTCCGGTAGCGTGGGCATCCCCTGGGAGCCCGTTAGAAATGCAGAATCCTGGCCCCACCTCAGACCTGCAATCCACATCTGCATTACAACCAGATCCCAGGAGACCTGTGTGCACAGTCGAGTTTGAGAAGCCTTAAAGCATTCAAATAGTGAGCTGATGGAGATATCTGGTAAACCAAGAGATGACTACTTGCTTTACACGTCCAGATTCTGACCTATCTCAATGGCTCTGAGGTGTGCATCCTTCCCCAGCATGAATGAGACTGCTTTTCACATTATCTGAAACAGACAGTAGCCATCAAAGCATGTGTCTCTGTGAGTGGATTCTACTGGGCACACAGCCATTGCATCCCAACACTGAGCTAAGGCGCCCTACCCACACTCATCTCACTGAAGATTCACAAGAACTGTGAGGAGATACAGCTTTACAGAGAAGAAAGCTGAGGCTCAGAGAGGTCAAGTAACTTGGCCAGGGCCGCACAGCCTGTTGACACCAGAAGGGAGTGGCTCCAAGCCACAGCCCCTGCTCTCCTCTCCCAGGCTCGATGCCTCCATAGAGGCTCACGGAGAGGCCTGGAAGACGAGCCGGCTGGTGGTCACCACACAGAGACCAGGAGGCCAAAGAGAGGCAATCACAAGACAAAGACACGTAATGAAAACCGCCTCCCAGAGACGCCCGCAGACTCACCTGACGGTAAGCCAGCAAATGCTCAAAGATTTCAGACAAGGAGATGTTTACTGAAGAACCTTCCTCGGAGCTCATGCTGTTTATTTTTTTGTTCTTCTTTTCCCCGTCCGACACCTTTTCTCGGACCCTCTGCAATGCACGCTGATACACCTGGTCCTGGCAGTAGACGATCTGCTCCATTTGGAAGTGAAGGCGGATGGACTTCTCAGCTTCTTCTTCTAGTTCAAATTTAATGTCTTCAATTTTGGACTATGGCAAAAGAGAAGCACAACGAAGCGCCCTCAGAAACAAATCACCGGCTCAAGGAAGGAGGTCCTCTGTGGAGCCCACGGCTAGTTGGCTCCCAGGTGAACCAAGACAGCACCTTGCTGTGGGGCAGCCTTCTGCACCCCACACTGGCTTGTCTAGGATGGGGCTCCCACCCCGGCTGGGGCTCGGGACCTCCGGGAGCCCGACCCCCCACCTGAACCTGGGAACCCGCACGGGCCAATGTCTCAGCTTCTTTCTTTCTCTTTGGGGGGCTTTCCCATCGAAGCAGGACTATACGCCCCATCAGAGAGCTCAGAAGGGTAAAAGGGGGGGCAAAATGTAAATCTGTTCAATTCTGTACGCTTCATGGTTGGAGAATCTGGCTGCCACCAGGCCGGGGTGTAGATCTCTCACACAGAAAAGATCTGGACTCCCCAGAGCTCCCACTCGGGCCCACTGAGTGTGACACACAGTGCGAGGTGCACCCCAAACATTTTCTTCTGTGTTCATTCTGTGTTCATTCCAGGCAGCGTAAGTAGCCCACCCCAAGCCCCCGAGCCTGCACAAGGCCAAGCCAGTCTTCCCAGCGGTGCTGGGTGCTAGGGGTGCAATGTGTGTGTCCCCCCAAATTTATATGTTGAAAGCCTAATCCCCAGTGTGATGGCATGGGGGGGACCTTTAGGGGGTCAGGTCATGACAATGAAGTCCTTACAGATGGCGTCCATGCCCTTGTAAGAAGAGACACCTGAGTGCTTTCTTTCTCCCTTACTCTCTCCCTCTCTCCCTGTCTCTCTGTGTCGTGAGGATACGAGGAGAAAGCAGCCACAAGCCAGGGTTCGGGCCCTCATCAGACATGGGATCTGAAGCACCTCGATCTGGGCCCTCCAGCCTCCGGAACATGAGCATTCAGGGACTATCACGTAAGCTGGCTAGGCTGCGCTCTGGGCCACGGGGGCCCGAGCTGAGCCGCGGGGGAGCCCCTGTTTCTGAGAGCGGAAGAGTCTCTCAACAGCGTGAAGTGGGGGGGTCTTCCTTCCTCCTGACTCTTCGCTCTTGGGAGACGCCATCTGCTCGTGCGGCCTCCTCAGTGACTTTCAAGGTTAGGGCCATTTTCTTCAGAGGCAATAATGTTCCACACAAACTATGGGTCTCCTTCGTTCTTGTGATTTTGAGGATTTTATTTCTATATTCCGTCTCACTCACTCGGTCTGCCTTACTGCTTCTAACCAGACGTCGCTGGTGATACCACAACTAAAGTTCACTAATGAGCTTGACTATTTGCTTCTCCAAATACCCAGTAAAGTTGAAATGGTCTTAACCCAAGAAATTTGTTTTCCAGCATCAGGCTGACTTTTTTGTTTTTTTTTTAATAACATGTGGTCAGTTTTACCTTGGTAGTTCTGTAAAGGTTGAAAAATTCAGCAAAATTTGCTTTCGAAATATCTGTGAAGGCAGCTTGGACCATATCTGAGGAAAAAACAAGACTCATACATAATCATAGGTTGCAAACAACAACAACAACAACAACAAAAGAGGATGAAGAAATGTCCAGAAATGGAAGCTTCCTCCCCTCCCTTCTGCCCCTTATTCCCACTCAGGGACGGAGGCGTGCCTTTTTTGCTGGAGAGTTCTCTGGAAGAATTTCAAAGTCCAATTGTCCCCTGGCATATTTCTTTGACATTTAAAATTTTTATCCTGGGGCGCCGGGGTGGCACAGTCGCTTGAGCATCCGACTCTTGGTTTTGGCTCAGGCCATGATCTCAGGGTCGTGAGATCGAGCCCCGAGTCGGGCTCCGTGCTCAGCAGGGAGTCTGCTGGAGATTCTCTCTCCTTCTCCTTCTGCCCCTCCTGCTTGTGCTCTCTCTCTCAAATAAATAAAATCTTTAAAAAAGTTTTTTTTCCATCCTAAGCAGATATAGTTGCAAAGAATGTAATCTCTGGTAGGTTATAAATATATTAATATTTTATAGTAAGACACAGCACTCTCAAATATATCAATGGGCTCTAAATGTCCATGTTATCCATTTAAAAAAAAAATACGAACCTGCTCTTATTCAATCAGAAAATTTACATTATTTCTTCTATTTTTGAAACTCCTCACATTTCCGTTGGACTTCCTCACAGAAATTTTATGCTAATATGATGTGCAGCATCTTTATGTTTGAAAAATTTTTTAAAGTAGGCTTCACGCCCAGCATGGAGCCCAACGCTGGATTTGAACTCATGACCTTGAGATCAAGACATGAGCCGGGATCAAGAGTTGGACGCTCAACCGACTGAGCCACCCAGGCGTCCTGAAAATCTTTTATTGACTCCACATCATATTCTTCTGAAACAGAAATAGGTATATATATATAATATACCCATATACATATATATATATACACACACCCACATATATATATACATATATATATACCCATATAAAACCCATATATATATGTGGGTTTCAAAGTTTTTTTAGTTTTAAAAACTGAAAGTTTTTAAAAGTTTAAAAAAGTTAAAAAAAGTTTAAAAGGTTTTTAAAAAAAGTTTTTTAAAACCCATATATATATGGGTTTTAAAAAAATTTTCTTTTTCTGTGACTTTAAGGCTCTAAGCACTACAAATTTTCTTTGAGAGTAAATTAAGAGTGCAAAATGGATCAACACAACACAATTACCAATTTTAATATACAATTATTAAGACTAAAGGTAAAATTGTATTAGAAATACATCTCTTAAGGTGCTGTCATGGGACTGTCCCCAACCTCTACGGGTTCGTGGATCCAGAATGATTATTACTTCTTGCTGAAATGAGACAGCTGAGGTGTGAGTGACAATATGGCGTCAGCCACGGTGAGGACAAAGAAAAGTGATTCCAGTGAACGTCTGGGAAACCAGAGAGCATGGCAGTTACAGGAGAAAGGAGCGGTCAGTCCCGTGGAGGGCTGTGTCTCTCCTCGGTGGCCGTTGACGCTCTCCCACCTGCCGTGACAACACGTGGGCCACCTAGATTCATACGGCACTCTAGAATGCTCAGAACTCTCCCGCAATGAACAGTTATTTAGCTGTCAACCTCAATCCTCAGAGGTTTCAAATAAATGGAGTATTTTGAGTGCTGTGGAAACGCCTGGAGGTATGGACAATAAGAAATATGTATCTGCTCTGTGCTCCTGGTTCCTGACATGGAGCTCCTAAATCCCTTAGACGAGGTGACTCTTGGTGGGCCCTGGACAGCTTCAGGATGGGGGTGGTCACAAGATCTGGATGAGAAGCCTGGAACTTTGAGCCCCACCTTCACCCACCGTCCCACCTTGCCACCTCTGGGGAGGAGAGAGGGGCTGGAGATGGAGCTGATCATTGATTATGTCTTTGTGATAACTGATTACACCTCCTTTAAATCCCCTAAATGACAGGGTTCAGAGAGCTTCCAGGTTGGTGAACACACCCACATGCCAAGAGGGTGGCGCCCCCTCCATGGGACAAAAGCACCTGCCCTCTCGGGACCCTCCCAGACCTCCTCGATGTATCTCTTTCATTCACATCCTTTATAATAAACTGGTAAAGGTAAGTACATCCTTTAAAATAAACCAGCAGAGATAAGTAAAGTGTGTTCCTGAGTCCTGTGAGCTCTTCCAGCAAGTTATAGTATCTGAGGAGGAGGCTGTGGGAACTCCAAATTCTAGCCTGTCCACCAGAGGCACGGTCTAAAGAGGAGGGCAGTCCTGTGGGGCCGAGCCCTTAAGCTGGAGGATGGGTGCTAACTCAGTTATTGTCAGAACTGAATCGAAATGTTGAACACCTAGTTGGTGTCCAGAGAACCAGAGAATTAATTGGGTTCTTGGAGGTTAAAAAACACCAGGAGGAGAGCTTGGAGTTTAAAAAACACCCCAGGAGGAGAGCTGTAGAGTTCAACACTGGTTTGGGCTCAAGCCTTTCGTTGCCCTAGAAATAAAATGCCTAAAAGCAAAATCAAGAACTCACCAGTTACCATGTGCAGCATATAGACAGCTGGTTCTTCTAGTTCTTTGAGTTGCTGTTTTATGATAATCTCAAACGTCTTGTAATTGACAAACCCTGGCAGCTCTCGGCCACGATACCGATTTTCAAATTTCTCGATTTGTTTATATATAACTTGGTAACCTGGAAAAGAAGAGTTCTGAGTTATTTTACAAAAATAACCTTGTGGGGTTTTTTTTAAACACAATACCATGCTGGACTTTCTGAAAACACAGAGAGGCAAGGGAAAAAAAAACAAATCTGATTTGCAAATTGAAAAAAGAATTCAGGGATAGCAATAAAAAAAAAAAAACAAAAGCAGATCTCAAGACCTTTTTCCTTAAGTCATCTCAAGATGGTTAAGTATGGAGCCAGGCGTGAGGCCAGAGGGCAGTGAACTGCACAAGCCAGGAGGAAGAAAGCGGGGGAAGGAATTTCCTCTTGGGTAAGAAATTCTATAGATGTTTACCAAAGAAATTGTACCACCATTCAGAATCAGCGACACGTCACGTATCCACATATCCACGTACAATAGCAAGAGTAGAAAGTGTTTATAAATCAGATGAGATAACAGAGTAACCAGGTACATAAGATTACTGCTCGCTACATAAAACACTTGGTTTCTTCTTTATACTTTGGGAATTCTTTTTATTCTCAACAAACTGGACTATGGAGGATACCTCCGCTGGTGGAAGTTCAGAGGGCTCTGGTTCCTCTTTTGAAGAACTAACCAGAAATCGTGGTCTGGGTCTCCTCTTTTGGTCAGGAGAAATTTTCCCATAGGTATTTTTTTTTGAGATATAATTCACATACTATAAAATTCACCCTAGTAAAGCATACAGCTGAGTGATTTTTATTATAGTAATGACATTGTGCAACCATCCCCACCAGCTAATTCTCAAGTACTTCTATCACCCCAAGGAACCCTGTGCCCATCAGCACACGCTCCCCATTCCCTGCCCCCCTCGGCCCCTGGAAACCACTAATCTACTTTCTATCTCTATGGATTTGCCTGTTCTCGACATTTCATATCAATGGAATCAAAAGACCTGTGGCTTTTCGTGTCTCACTTCCTTCACTTAGCATGATGTCTTCAAGGTTCATCCATGTTGTAGCATGTTTAGTGTTTCATGCCTTTCCCATGGCTGAATAATATTCCATTGTCTGCTGTCAAAGGCTGAATTGTATCTCCCCAAAAATTGGTATGTTTGAAGTCCTAATCCCTAGCGCCTCGGAAATGTGATGGCGTTGGAGATACGACCTTTAAAGAGGTGATCAAATCCAATCTGACTGGTGTCCTTATAGGAAGAAAGTAGGACAGAGACCCACACAGGAAAGACACAGGGAGAAGGTGGTGTCTACAAGCCAAAGAGAGAGGCGAGGCGTCTGGAGAATCCAAACCTGCTCGTAATTGGTCTTAGACTTCCAGTCTCCAGAATTATAAGAAAATCGGTTTCTGTTGTTTAAGACCCCCAGTCTTTGTGATGAGAACCCCAGCAGAGCAGTAATGAGTACACGGACACATGCTAGCCGTCCTAGTGGGTGTGAGGTGGGGTCTCCCGCGGCTTTGGTTCGAGTTCCTCTGGTGGCTAATGACGCTGAGCATCTATTCCCGCATTGTGAGCCATTTGTATGTCTTCTTTTAGACAAATGTCTACTCCTTTGTCCATCTTTAATTTGGATTTGTCTTTTTGTCGTTGAATCCTAACAGTTCTTTGTATGTTCTGGATACTGGGCCCTTATCAGATGTGTGATTTGCAAATAATTTCTCCTGTTCTGTATGTGTGTGGGGGGGGTGCCCTTTGACACACACACGTTTTTAATCTTGATGAAGTCCACTCTGTCTATTATTCTATTCGTGTGTGCTGTAGGTGTCCTATCTAAAAACCGCTGCCTAATCCTAGGTCATGAAGATTCAAATCTACATTTTCTTCTAAGAGTTTTATAGTTCTAGGGCTCACATTTTGGTTTCTGATCCATTTTGAGTTTCTCTTTGTATAAGGGGTGATTAAGGGGTCTAAATTCATTTTCTTGCATGTGGGTGCCCAGTGTTGGGAGGAATTTAGCGTCTTAATTAAAAAAAAATGAGCTATTTTCTCATGGGCTGTGTGCATAAGCTTGCTGAGCCATGCAGGAGGGGGTTGTTGGAGGTCAGGACTGTTGTCTTCCTTGAAAGGGACAGCGGTCCTTCCCTGATGGAAGATCACACCACACAGCAGGTGTTCAACCCTTTGCACTGTGGATTTAGCTCCAGTAAGCAGCATGGGAGCTGTGCAGATGGGGCAAGGGACCACCCCATTTTTCCAACAAAGAACACTGTTATTTATCTTGTCCTGCCCTCCATGCCTCGGCCAAGGAACAAACAGGACTGACAGGTTTGGCCTCTGAATTATGTAAAAAATGGCATGACTTATCCTCCTATGTTCATTACTCAAAGCCAAGGACAATGGTCAATGTGAACGTTCAGTTAGCTGAAATAAGTTATGGCACCCACCAGGCTGCCTGAATAAAAGCAAAGTTCCTTAAAATTTCCCTGCAGCTTTATCACTGGTCGGTATAGGATTTACTTTAAGCTTCTTGAGATATTAAAAAATAAACTTTAGGGGCGCCTGGGTGGCTCAGTCGTTAAGCGTCTGCCTTCGGCTCAGGTCATGATCCCGGGGTCCTGGAATCGCACCCCGCGTTGGGCTCCCTGCTCAGCGGGGAGTCTGCTTCTCCCTCTCCCACTCCCCCTGCTTGTGTTCCCTCTCTCGCTGTGTCTCTCTCTATCAAATAAATAAAATCTTTAAAAAAAATAAAAATAAAAAAATAAATAAACTTCAGGTCACACTTTCTACCTTTCTCGGACTCTTGAGAATTTGGTGCTGCCAGGGGGGGCCTAGGTGTGTTTCATTTCCTTTGCATCGCTGCCACAACTATAAAATCTGCTGAGATACACAGAGGCTTCAAGGCCGTGGCCAGCTGACCAAGACCCAGGCGACTTCATCCTGGGGCCACAGAGAGCACGTGGCAGGTTGACCCGCTATTGTGGAGGGAGGGCTGATTCTGGTGGAAGCCTGGGTGGACCCGGGCTGATCCCCTGGCATGTTCCCTCCAGGTATCCTCTCAAGTCTGCAGCTGATGCCCGCCGGCCCAAGTTCAGTGACATGCGCCGGCATCCATATCAGCCGCACCACCTGCCCCCCGCGGCCCCCCACTCGACGGCAGTTCCTCTGACTCACCTTGTTGGAACTTCTTCTCAATCACAGAGCTCCACTTGTGGAACTCGTTTCGGATTTTGGTAAAGAGCCGACTCTCGTCCTCCCCCACAAATTCTTCCCCTTCGATTAAGGAGTTGATGTCATGGTTAAAGGCATTAATTTTCTGTCAAGAAGGAGAACAGAAGTATAAGTGGGGGTATTCCATACACAAGTGAGGGCGTTTGGAGGTCGCATGGAGGCTGAGGGCGGGCGAGTCACTCCTCGTCACCTTACGGGGTGACAGACCCCCACACTCTGCCCTGACTGCCTCGGGGTCTCGGGGAACGCACATGACACTGGTCAGTCCCTGCCCACTGTCCCTCCACCCCGGCCCCTCTTTGGTGCTGAGTGGGCCGACCGAGCCTGGGTTAGCTTTCGGGGAGCAAGAACAAAGTGTGTGAGGTACAAGATCCCTTTCTGGACAACGATGTCCCGACTTGAGGCGACGGACGATACTCACCTCTATCAGAAAAAACATTTTTTCATGCTCCTCTTCGGGCACGTCAGAGCCGTACTTTTGTAACTCCTTTGTTATTTTCTCATGATTTTCCTTTATCTGATTTTCTAACAGGGGCAAAGTTTTCTGAGGAAAACAGGAAATAATGCACAGACGTGAATATGGACAGGGAAGGAGCAGGAGCTCCCAGGCCTCCTTCTGCTCGGTGTGCCTGACTGCCTCTCAAGAGAAGAAGGAGAGGGGGCGTGTTAGTGGGTGCCGAGGCCCCCCAGCCCTCCCCGCGTCCCCGCTGCCCGGGGGACAGCCTCACGGATGTGCTGAGGCGTCCACTCCGCGGGGCGCCTGCCCCCATCAGAGCAATGCTAGGAACGATTCCTTCTGTGCAGGCAGGTTAGAAAGAGCCACTCATCTGGTGGGCTCTGAAAAAGCGGCAGTTGGAACAATCCGAGATTCACCCACTCTTACGCTGTTCGCAGACGAACAGCATCGGGGACTTCTGTCTCTGATAACATGGTGGACGGCAGGCACCAGCTCCCTCTTCCACCGCAAACACCGATAAATGCTGGCTGACACATGGAAAGCATCGCTGGAAATGCATCAGTGAGTGGGCAGGGACAGGACAGACACTCCGAGGCACGGCCAGGTGACGTGAGCGCCCGGGGATGGGCGAGGAGAGCAGGAGTAGAGCCAGATTTGGCTGGGGCAAAGAATAAATCTGGGCGAGCTTGCTCGAGGCAGGGAATCTAATGAGCCAGCATCTTCTTTCTACATAAAGCTGGGACCCCACAGAGCCATGCTTTCACTATATGGGTAAGCTAGAAACAACCCTGCCCTCCCTCCCCATTCTTGGGGACTGCACGGGACGCTGAACCTGGAGCTGAGTGGAAGAACATAAAATCTCTGTAACCACAAGCCAGCCCTCAAACAGGTTTGCCGCCCCAATGTGCATTCCTTGAGGGGTCCCCCAAAACTTCAAGCTGAGAATCTAAAGTGGTTTAGGCAGGAGGCCCTTCCAAGGGGCTGGCAGAAGCAAATCTGCCTCTCCCTGGAGAAACGGATTTTGAATCTGGGCTTCCATGAATGCCCACAGATCAAGTTCCAAAACAGGCCCAAAGTCAAAACCCTAACCCAGGTCACTGTGTGGGATGGCCAGTGGAACCCAGTGCACCAAGGCTTCTGACACTGGAATGATCAAGCACAAAATACAAGAGATGTGTGCAAAGAAATCTTTTCAAGGGATCGCAGACAGGAAACTGCAAGCGATTGTGTCTAGACAAATTTGAAAAAGAGCCACAGAGAGATCTAAAATATGAAATATATGATCATTACAATTACCAAGACATTATGACAGTGGCTAGTAAGGAGAAAGGAAAAGTTGGTGCATTGCCCATAAGATTTTAATTTTTAATTAGGCCAAGTGGATCTAGTCTATCAGCTCCCACCCAATGTGTGGGACGAGCAGCGTCCACACCATCTGGGAGCTTGCTGGAAATGGAGAATCCCAAGCTGCACTCGAGACCCACTCAACCAAGCCTGCACCTTCACACGATCCCCAGGAGATCTGTTAGTGGGTCAGTCAGCCCACATGGTGGAGCTTTGGGTTTGTGGGAGTCTATTCAGAAAACAGACAGCTCTGCAGGTGCTTACACAGATGTGCGTGATGAGTTCAGAGGTCAGCTTGTCTGCCAGGCAGGGGACTGTGGCCCTTCCTTCCTCCAGGAGGACCCTGCAGACAGAGAAGAGAAGACAATGCCCACATCCATCTTGGTGTGGCCAGAAAATGCAAGTCAGCTTTCTGCTGCAGGGAAAGTCAAGTGACTTCCATCTGGATGGGATATCTTGTAACTGGTACCCAACAGATGTTCAGAACTGGCTTGCACGGAATGATGATTCAGTTGTAGTTATTTTGGATACTTCAAAAATGGTATAGAGTTGTATAGAATTGTTGAGTCACTACACCGTACACCTCAAAATAATTCAATGCTGTATGTTAACTAAGTGGAATTAAAATTAAAAGCTTAATTTAAAAAAATGGTATAGGGGAGCCTAGGTGGTTTAGTCGGTTGAGCATCCTACTCTTGATCTCAGCTCAGGTCTTGATCTCAGGGTTGTGAGTTCAAGCCGCACTGGGCTCCATGCTGGCCATGGAGCCTACTTAAAAAAAATGCTATAGATGATCGCTTCCAGCTGACACATTGTGTCTCATGACATCTGACTATAAAACTGATCTTTATAAAAATACGCGTGGTCACCTACAAATGTGTTTTCATAACACACACACCCTTCTGTGCGTAATACACATGCAAGTCTACATGATACATGGCAGTACAGGGCTTCACAAAAATACACTGATGTGGGGCGCCTGGGTGGCTCAGTCGTTGGGCGTCTGCCTTCGGCTCAGGTCATGATCCCGGGGTCCTGGGA